CACACTTTCTCTCTACATTTATTTATATAATTTTTTCATTATAAATGTAACGTCAAGTTAATAATTAATATTAGCAAAGAAAGGAGAGAAGGAATAAGAATAAATATATAATTAATGTGTAACATTATAAATTATAAGAATAAATATATAATTAATAATAATATATACACAAAATAAAAAAGTACAAAGTAAATATTAAAATAAGAATAATGTACAGGATACAATTCAAGTGTTACACTTAATTAAAATTTTACAATAAACAATTTATAATTGAATGACATAAATCAACAATATAATAAATTTTAACAATAACATAATATTAGAGAAAATAAGAAAAATTAATCTCACCTCTCGAAAGAAAGCGTCGGCCACTTTATGATCGGTCAGCTCAAAAGCATCGATTGGAAGTTTTTTTAATTCATTGCCCTTAGATTTAATCGAAACATTCAAGCACTTACAAGTGGCATGCATTTTATAAAGAAATAAGTATCCGTTTCAAATGGTTAACTTTTCCTTCGTAAAAAAGGAATTAATTTTGTTTAAATGTGTCTTCCCGTTGAGTCTCAGTACGATGATCAGGGCTAACAAAGAAACTTCTTTACCGAATAAAATATCTACTTTTGGAATATTAGCTTGTCACGATTTATCTTTGCTTTTCTAAAATAATCTAGGCACAAAATCATTCAACGAACGATTCCTCTTATTTCTATCGATATTCCGATATATGATTATTGAAAAATTGCCAGTAGTTTACATAGATAGAGACAGATATATACGTGTTCCACAACTATACAGTAGGTCAACGCACAGTGTGCAAGTTGCCGGAGCAATGCAAAGCTTTTCCCACACGTGCGAGAATACACAACTCTTCTCCCCGTCTTACCCCGTACCACACCGGTATATTCCCTAACTCATATTCACGTATGCCAAACCGATGTAAACACGCGTATATAATCAGTATCTTTTTTCATGCGTGTGTTTCTCTCTCCCTCTCTCTCTCTCTCTCTCTTAATATTTTTCCATACGCGTATTACAGTAAACGAGCAACCAGGAGAGCGTGGGAGGGAGAGAAGGAAGGAGAGAGAGAAAAAGAGAAAAAAAAGAACGAAATAAATGCAACCGAGATAGAAAATAAAAATGAAAGATAAGCTAATTCTATTTTAACAAAATATTACAAGATTAAGAATAATTTTAACTTCGTTTTTTTTCAGGCACACAATTCTTTTTTTTATTATTTACTGTATTTACCTATCACATATTTTTATGGTCTTTATCATAGGATTTATTTTAAGCGATATATGCTGACAAGTGTATCATAAAGATTGAGTTTTATCAAAAGTAAAGTGTTTATCTATCTTTGTTTTTGAAGTAACTCTAGTTTGGTTTATATAAATATCTAATAGATTTGTTGTCTTAAGCGTAAATAGATCTAATAAATATTTAAGATATTATTAGAATAAAGGATTGGAGAATAATGAGAATCATAATATAAAATATCGTATGTATTTACGGATCTTTGAAAGAAACACCAAAAGTACTTACTAAAAATATATACCGATTTATGAATATGTGCATATATACATACGAACATATGTACGTGCTTCCATGCATGCATACGTTTGTATTAGGCAAAAACATACTCGCTAGTCAATTGACCAATTGTAATAGATAACCAAATTAATACATATACCAACGTGTTATTAGGATTTTATTATTTTTCTTTAAATAAATTATGTAATATATTAAAATAAAATATATTATATGTGTGAAGATTTATATATACGTATTTAAACAATTGTTATCAAATGTGCACGTGTCACCCATTGAAAAAAATTAGAAAAATTTATTCAAAAAATGATTAGCGTCATAGTCCGCGATTTGACACATCATTTAAATTTTGCTAACACGCTTCGTTTAGATATATTTATCGAAATTTGTTAAATACTTTTATATATTCACAAATTACGAATATTGCATTATGTATAAAATTTTTATTTATAAAAGGAAAGTACGTATATTTTAAAACAGCTTTTATTTATACAACGAGACTTTATAATATATGTTATTGATATTTTTATATATTTTCACTGTACTATAATATAACACGTGCAAGATAACATTTATAATATCCTCGTTTAAACAATTTACTGCTCATTATAATATTATACTTATATACAAAATTGTAAATTATTGTAATCGCATAAAATATACAAATCATATGGAATGTTTATATAAATGACATTGGTTCAAGTAGTTTTTTCTCATCAGAAATTAAAAATTGTTGTCTTTATTCTAAAATATTCATCAAATCTTATTGCTGCATATCTGAAAATAAGATATGATCAAATATAAAGATTTTTCGAGCAAAAATAGATTTGTTTGTACTTGTAATAACAAATTTTACTTTATCTTGACGTGACGTAATTTTAAGAAAGTTTTTATTTGTAATAAACGTATAAACAATAGAAATAGTAGATATTTACTAAAAGGTTACTTACTGCAAAAAATCAAAATCTATATTCGAATGTTGACTTTGTATGAGAGCCCAACAACCCCAAAAGAAATGTGTTAAAAGAACAAATTTATTTACTTGACTATATAATTGGTTAATTTCACCTTCAGGTATGTCATTAGTATTATAATATGATTTTAAATATATTTTTAGCCATGCCTTCTGTAAACATTCTTCAGGATATAAGGAATAGTCAGGAAAATCGATACCTAAAAATATAATTAAATGAAATATATTGATATTTTATAGTATGAATGTGAAGAAAGAGTACCATATAAAATATGCTTGAATTACCTGCAAACTCTGCAAAATGATTGGCTATGTCAAATGCTTGGTAGTTATATGCAGTATATTCGTAATCAATAAAAGTTACACTATTTTCTTTTTCATTATAAATTACATTTGCCAATAAAAGATCGTTGTGTGCATATACTACGGAATTATTTAAATTTGATAATTGTTTTTTCAAAAATTGATATTCTTTTTCCAACACAGCATAAGGCTTTATTAATTTAGTAAATCTGGATAATTATTTAAATTATTTAGCCATTATTCTATGTATATTGGAAAAATATATAATTGTATAATATATGTAATACCATAATATTCAATTACTTTAATTGTTTGAGAGGATCAGAAAATTCTTTGGGCATAAGTTCCATAAATTGTTCAGTTTTATTCCAAATAATTGGTTCTTTGGATATACCACAATAATCAGGTTGAAGTATATGCATCTCTGCCATTCGTTTAGCTATTAATCTATAAATTTCTGGCTGTCTAACAGTTTCAGTAGTAAGTATATCACCTTCAAGAAATTGATAGGCAAGACCATTATTAAATGTTGCATAAATTGAATGTGTATAACCAGCTTTATGTAATATCTGAAATATATAATTGATAGAAGATATTTCATAAATCACAATTTTATATTTGTTATTTACCCGAATATTTCTTGTTTCATCTTTTCGATTAATAAGTAAATCTGTCTTATGTCCATAAATTCTAATTAATACCATATCAGTATAATGTTCTGGATACCATACTCCAACAAGTTTATTTGTTATTCCATTAGTAAATAACTAAAAAATATTAAATCAAATTTACTAAAATTATACATTACTTTCTACGACATAATAGTTATGTCAATAAACTATCTAATAATATAATTAATTTAATTGTAGAGATATATAATATAAATTAAATTATAATATAAATTTATTAATAATATAAATAATATAATTTAAATTAATGTAACGATAACATATATTATCTTTCAACTTTTTTGATATTACCTTGAACTGTAATTGATCCAAAGGCCAGAATGGTCTTATTTGCTTTATAATTTCTGTGGCTCCCTTTTCGATTTCATTTTCATTAACGGTGATATCAAGATGCGGCTCTTTACAATTTTTTTCCATGATCGACATAAGTTTCTAAGAGTTCAAAGTCCAGTTACATAAAATGATCAGATAAAAGAATAAAAGTGTTATATATAAAATGTAAAAAATATAATTATTACAATATAAATGTCTATTATTTCTAATTATATAGATAAATTTAAATAACTTAATATAAATATAGCGTATAGAAGTTTCTTCCTATACTAAATGCTGTAATAAGACTACTAGTATATTCTCTACACATATGATATACTTACTGATAATAATAAGTGACAACATAGTCAGTAAGGGAGAGCCATAGCAATATAAAAGCCTTGAATTCATTGACAATCTCATTTGTTAATCATTCGATTCAAAAAGAATGTAAGTATTCTAAATAATAGACATCAAATATTGAAATATTATTAATAATTTCTTATTTTAAATTATAACATATGTTATTTCATTTCAATTATGTATTTTCAATATATACAATTGTTGTTAATGAAGATAAAATTACCAATTAATAAATATGTATACGCCTTACTGACAAACAGCGAAATGAAAGTGCCCTGAGATCAAATATTATTTTAAACATTGTATGTTTTTTTTTAAGTCTTTTGGGACTTGATACTTATCACCGACTACATAAATATTGTGTAGAAAAATAAAACTGTTTAAACGTCAATTATAACTCATTAAACCTTCACAGTAATACCTTTTATTTAAATCTTTTAATTTGTTTCTATTCTTACATTTATAATATGTATTACTTGAGAAGTCGTGACATACATTGCATTTATTACATTTGAATAAATTCGACTGAGAAAAGATACTACTTCACAAGAAAATCGAATAGCGTATCCTTATATTAATTTCGTTGAACAAAGTACTTTATTTTTTTTGTATAATAATTCATCATTTTATATAATTTTTCAAGGTCAAGTAACATTTAGATAAAATATAACATGTCATTTGACAAAGTAGTATATAATACTTATATATGATGACACAGTAAATACCATGGGACAAACAAAGTTATAAATCAATGATCAAAGTAAGAGAGAATAATCTGACAAGGTAAGACAAAATTAAAAGATCTCGAAATCGAAATCTTAAAATCGAAATCTGAAATCGAAACTTTTCTATATCGATATTAACTGCAATTCTTTTCTAACTTCATAGTCAATGTTACAAGCTTTGAATAAAGTACATAAACAATTTGTTAATTTTTTAAGTTATTTATTTAATGTAAGTCTTTCTTTTAAATGAAATGAAATTGATCGCAAATGTTTACATTTGAAGAATTTCTTTAAATGTTCTTATAATCAAGTTCTTATAAATGGTTTGATTATTAACGTATAGTGACATACACATGGTTTTTCGTCATCTTGTTCCCGCCTAAACTAAAAACTTAGTTATATGTGAAAAGTTTATAAAAGGTACATTATAATTACACATTTGAAAATGATTAATTCTTAATTAATTTCTATCTAATGATGTAATTTTTTCTAATAATGAAGTCATGAAACAAATTATTTGAATAAATAATTTCTTGTACATTGTTTTCTAAACAATATTTTGTTAGTAAATTGTATTTGTATGTGGAACGATAAATTATCAAAATGTCAAAAAAGCTTGCATTAAATGAAACTCCAGGAGTTCCAAAGTTGACAACATTTTTTAAGCGATTGGAGAACAAAGATAATATAACCTCTAGGTATTCATATTCACTTTCTTCTAAAATATTTTATCTTAAAATATTAAAAAAAAATATATTTTATATGTAAATGATCTTGATAAAATTTGTTTCTAGCACACCAACTGAGAAAAACGTTTCAAAAAGTTTAAACGAAAACCATGAAAGTTTTATTAATTTGGATGATGATAGCAGTGATTTTATTACTGAGAATATGAAAAAGGAGTTAAAAGTGGTAGATAGTATTATAAGTATTGTAAGAATTCAGTTGTTATTATTTTTTTTTTTTATGTTATATAATACAATTTTGATATAATTTTGTTTTAATATATAGGATAGTTCAAATGATTTACAAGATCAAAGTACATGTGAAGCAAAATCCCAAGATAGTAGTTCTTCAATTGTACATTATGTGGAAGATTCGGTTGAAACAAAAGAAAGATTGAAAAATATTCAAAACACAGTGTCCCCTGATGAAAAAACTACATGTAGAAAAAACACTTTCTTTGATCGATTTTCAGATAGTGAGGATGAATGTACAAAATTTAAAACATGTTTACGATTAAATAATGGGCTCAAACAAACTGAAGATAAAGGGGAAAGCCCAAAAATGTCAAAAAATCACATCAGTGATCTCACTGCATCACCATTTGCTGTTCATAACGAGTCTTCTGCAATATCACCTGAAATGACTAAACAAAATTCATTTGATAATTATATTAGTCCTGGCGAAACTAACCTTAATACAAGTGGGAATTTAATAATAAAAAACATTATGGACAAAGACATTAAAGGTCACAATAATAAAAATATCATCATATCTGATTCCGACAATGAGAATTCTGATTCCAAAGAAACTGTTGAAAAATCACCAAAAAAGAAATGGATAGGCCCTGACTATAAATTAAATCTGAAGCCTTTAGGTATGGATAAACAATTAATTTCTTGGATTCAATCGGTAAAAGAACAACCAGTTATGTCAGCTTTGCTTGTAAGTAATTATCAAAGATACACAATATTATAATTATTATGTTAATGTCATGTAAACATCGAACCAGTAAATAATATTCATTTTAATTTCAGAGAACCGAAGATGATTTAGAAGACAGACATCAAAATTTGCAAGACCTTCAAATAGTTATTCTAGAAAAATTTTTTCTAGCTATGGATCAAATTCCAATGCCAATATTAGAAAAATTTCCCAAATTTAATGTAGATGCATTTCAAAAACTAAAAGCTTTGAATCAGCATGTTAAAGCTAAATTACGTTTGGTGAAAAAAAGGCTAGAGAATAAGCAGAAGATAGAGAAAGAATTAAAATCCACAATTGAAAATGAACCCTTACAAGAATTAGAAAGTCATAATCCTGTTTTTAAGAAACATAATATATACAAAAGTAGTCCAATAAATTCACAAAATTTAACAGATAGTTTTAATCTCAGTTTTAACTCTTCTAGCAAAGAAGTAGTAAGTCTTAATGAAACTTCAGATTCATTATTATCAAACATTACGAAACCTATAAATTCATGGCAAAAATGTGATACTGAAACACTGAGTATGAGAACCACTACCAATGCTAACTCACCTGTTGCAAGTACGAGTGTAAATGCAGGCGTAAGTGCAAGTGCAAGTACAAGTACAGCTCCAATAAAAAAAAGTACTTTTCAATTAAAAAGACCTGTCAGAGCTACAGTGTGTACAGAAGTTAATAAAAAGATAGGCGAATTATGGGAAAAAGAGCAGCAACAAACAAGACTATTAAAAATGAAATCTGATACGAAATACGATGAAAGCAATAATAGCTTTAAGTCAGAGCAAAATGAACTTGCATGTCAAAATAAACATTTTGATTATAATAATTCTAAATCAAAAGAATTTGAAAAGTATACACAACCTATGTTTAATCAGAAGGATGATTGGATCAATAATATTAATAGTTTTGATTGTGATAATTCTAAACCAAAAGAATTTGAAAAGAATACACAATCTACGTTTAATCAGAAGAATGATTTGATCAATAATAGTAATAATTTTGATTCTGATAATTCTAAACCAAAAGAATTTGAAATGAATACACAACCTACGTTTAATCAGGATGATAATTGGATCAATAATAGTAAAAATTTTGGTAAGATATTACATTGTTTAATTAACAATAGTCATTATTAATTTGTGGACATTATTACACAGATGATGATTTATTAATAAATAACAAAAGGAATATCATTGAAACATTTAAACAAGAACGTAAGATCTCTACAAATAATAGTTCTAATTTAGAATTAAGTCTACATATGAATGGTAAATATTATAATTTATTTTAATGTTGTTTGAAACATTTATAGTTTATATAAACGTGGTCAATTTATATTACAACAGATTCAGGAATAATTAGTCAAGAAAAAAAGAAGGATATTGCTACAAATAATAAAGTGAATATAACTTTAAATACATCTGTTTCTGATGGGATTTTTACTGGAAATTATCAAAATGATGGTATTAGTGGAAAATTTGATGGTTTGAATTACCCTCATTCTCGTGAAATGTTAAAAGTATGTAAACGTATTTTAGATTAACTTACTAATCACAATCGTTATTTTAGAAATATTTTTAATTAAAGAGATAAATATATCATTGGTTGATACAGACAATTATCGTTTCAGATTTTTAGACAAAAGTTTGGTTTATATTCTTTTAGACCAAATCAATTGCAAGCAATTAATGCAGCAGTTCTTGGATTTGATTGTTTTGTCTTGATGCCTACAGGTGGTGGGAAATCACTTTGTTATCAAATGCCAGCTCTTCTTTTACCAGGAATTACAATAGTTATTTCTCCATTAAAAAGTCTTATTCTTGATCAAGTTCAGAAACTGACTTCGCTTGATGTTAGTTATATTATTTTACTAAAATTTTATTCGTTAAAAAAAAATGTCAGTAATAATTTATTATTTAATAATTAGATTCCTGCGGCACACATGTCTGGTAATATAACTGAAAGTCAAGCAGCAGGAATATATAGAGAGCTGTCAAAGAAAGATCCAGGATTAAAATTATTATATGTAACACCTGAGAAAATATCTGCTTCTCAAAAATTGAACAGTATTTTAACAACTCTATTTCAAAGAAATTTATTGGCACGATTTGTTATCGATGAAGCACATTGTGTAAGTCAGTGGGGTCATGATTTTAGACCAGATTATAAAAGATTAAAGTGTCTAAGAGATAATTATCCCACGGTATCAACGATTGCTTTAACAGCTACTGCTACTCCGAGAGTTAGAACTGACATACTGTATCAATTGGGTATGACACAACCAAAATGGTATGATATATAATATCTGTAGATTATTTATATTATTATTGATTATCATATAATGATGTATACACATATTAAGATATAAATTATTATATTTTCAGGTTTATGTCAAGTTTCAATAGACCGAATTTACGCTATAGTATAATTGCAAAGAAAGGCAAAAATTGTTCTGACGAAGTTGTTGCTATGATAAAAACCAAATATAAAAACCAATGTGGTATTGTTTATTGCTTATCGCGTAAAGATTGTGATGATTACGCTTTACAAATGAGAAAAAATAATATTAAAGCTCAAAGTTATCATGCCGGATTGACAGATAATCAAAGGAATGATGTTCAAGGACGTTGGATTTCAGAAGAAGTAATACAGCATATATATAATGAAGTGTCATAGCTAATTCATTTATTTATATTTAATAATATTGTTTTAGATTAGAGTTGTATGTGCAACTATAGCATTTGGTATGGGTATTGATAAACCTAATGTACGTTTTGTAATACATGCTGCTCTACCAAAGTCTATAGAAGGATATTATCAAGAAAGTGGACGCGCAGGTCGCGACGGAGATAATGCTGAATGTATATTATTTTATAATTATACTGATATGCATAGAATTAGAAAAATGATTGAAATGGATAATTCAAGTCCAGATGTTATAAAAACACATATGGATAATTTATATAAGATGGTATCCTTTTGTGAAAATAAAACCGATTGTCGCAGAGCATTACAACTTAACTATTTTGGTGAAATATTTAATCGAGAGCTATGTATTGCAAATAAATCAACTGCGTGTGATAATTGCAGGTGTAAAGTAAGAGACTGTATATATATTATAATTATAATTGCATATGAAATTAAAATCTCTAATCGAAATTATTTTACGTTTATACACCTTTTAGTCAGAATTTACTATGTTGGATGCAACAGATAGTGCACGACAAATTATGAAAGCAGTACGAGAAATTAATCAGAGAAGGAATTCCAAATTAACTTTAGTATTTTTAACAGATATTTTTAAAGGAAGCGATCTTAAAAAAATTCGAGAATCAGGTAAAAATAATCAAAAATAAGAAATTTTTAGAATTCGTATTTAATAAATACAATATGTACTATCGATTATTCCGTAGGTCTAACGAGTCATCCATTGTATGGCCAAGGTAAATTATGGAACAGAGGTGATATAGAACGTCTTCTACATGAAATGGTACTTAAAGAATATTTACGGGAGGAGATGTATATAAACAACGAAATCGCGTGTGCTTATTTAAAACTTGGTCATAAAGCGACAGAATTAATGACCAACAAATCAACGAAGGTATCAAACTATTTAGATCGAATTTTTAAAAATGAAATATAAATATTACTATGCATTTTTATTTTAGGTGGTTATTCCAATACGTGCTGCAAAGAGTAGCTCGAATGCAGTAGCAGTTGTTTCTACGGTTACAACTAAAGCTGACAAAGTTCTACAAGAATTGCAAGAACGTTGCTATACAGAATTAATAGGAATTATTAGAGGAATAGCGGGTGCGCTCGATGTATCTGCATCGTCTATTATGAACATGATTGCTATAAGAGCAATGAGCCAGCAGTTACCTGATAATGAAGAAGCCATGTTACAAATTCCCCACGTCACAAAAGCAAACTTTGACAAGTATGGCAAAGCTTTATTAGATATTACACAAAAATATGCAGCTGAAAAATATGGTAATTAAACTATGAACTATGAGTATATACATATATTTAATTATATATATATATAAACGATTACGAAACTAAATAAAACCTTATAATTTATGTTAAATTATTAGTTTTATTGAATGAAACTGATGAGAATTTAGCTGACAGTAATGATGAAGATGCAAATTCATGGAACACTGGTGAAGGTTCTTATTCTAATAGTACAAGAGGTAGATATGGAAGTGCGCGAGGAAGAAAGCGTAAAGGCAGAACTAGTTATCGTTCTAGTTCAAAGAAAGCTAGATATACAAGTTCAAGGTAATCTATTTATATAATTGTTATAAAAAATACTTATTTCGTAATATGAAAATAATAATGTAGGATATTTATTTTATTTAATATTGGAAAATATTGCTTAATATAGTTCTACCACACAAAGAGGAAAAGCGGCTCCGAAACGTAAAGCTGCAGCAACAAAGACTGTAGGACTTGTAAGTCTCTCTAATAGCAAGAAGAAATAATTTCTTATTATCAATTATACGCAACAGTAACAGTATCATTTTTATAAATCATATATTTAATTATCTATATATAAACCTTTGTATTTGTAAGATATCGAATGACTATTTTGCATAAACATTATGATACAATGTATCAGTATTTTTGAGATTGACGTTTTAGTCATATTAATATGTATTGTAATAACAATTCTTTAATTATGTAAATACTCAATAAAAATTGTAACATATTGATTATTTGCGATTGCAGATTTGTTTTGTAATAAAAATGTATAAAATCATAGTTTTTAGTGGTAATACAATGTTACAATTATTCTATTTTATTGCGTAAATGATGAAGTCGTGACATAAGCAATTTCATTGGCTACTAACTTTACCCGTGATGTGCAAGTTATTTTAAATTTACTTAATTATTATTAGTCTTTGTAATGTGTATCTATTATATTAATGATATATTTATTAGAATATATATTGAGTTGGCAACTAAGTGATTGCGGATTTTGTCGATAGACAAATCACATTTAATTTAGTTTTTTGATAGTAAAGATCAGAAATTTTATAGATATTGAATTATGACACTGTCTGAACGATGGCAAAAGGTCATCGACAAGAACGGATAGTATTTAATGGAAAAAGTTATATTTTTCAGCCAAAATTTTGAATTTTCCTTCTTATTTAAAATCCGCAATCACTTAGTTGCCAACCAAATATATATTTGTATGATACAATTTATATAATATAAAAAAATCTTTATTTATTTCGAACAGGGTATTAAAATGAAATAAAAAATAAATAATATACAAAATATGTGTTAATTATAAGATAATTGTTGAGATATACACAAAAAAAAAATAATTTAAATGGTAGATGTATAAATCAAGTTTAATAATGGGCATAATTTTTTATATTGTATGTACTTGTAGAATATCATCTACTATACACTATTTGATATAATTGATTTATTTAAATAAAAATGTATAATTTTTATTATACATCAAATTGTAAGCATGTGACGTACGTTTGTCATATCTATGTAGAGACCTTCTAGGGACAAATTCTAGGGAGCAACATAACAGCATTCACCAAAAAGAACTAAACAAGAAACGGATTTGCTTCGCTTTCTTCCGAGTCACTGTGTAATTTACGTACATATATTTTCTGTTATTTGTTAAGAAATAGAATTTGTTTTCTGAATACTGGTGTTGTTTTCTTACCTGTTATAAACATTTTTACACCTAAATATCACAGTTTCATCAGGCTCTAATATGTGAGAATATACGAGTGACATTACGTAATTATCACAGATGTGAAGTAACTTTATGTATTACGAATAAAATAATTCTATGTACTCGGCCTAGTATTAATAAGAAAAATATAATGGTATACTGATGCTATTAACAAATAATACAAAATATGCGACTTTATTTTAAAGCGTAAATTAAATATTAAAGCAATGGCTGGTTCTATAGAAGAGGTTAGAAATCCCTTGCCTACAAACAAAGGTAATTTTAATCATTTTATTAGATTGTTTTTTAACGATTTTTTAATGCAATATTTTGACAACAGATTTTAGTTGTGACGTTCCAAATATGCCAATTTATTAATTAGTTTATAATAGTTTTTTGATCTAATAAGTTTGTGTATGTTTTTCTCCGTATACATAAAACTTGACACTTGTATACGTCATCTATGCATGCTGTTGAATATTATTTTTTTCATCACTTTTTATTATTCATTATTTGTTAATATCATGATGAACAATAATGTAAATTCATTTTTAGGATTTTCTGTTGTAAGGACGACAGTATCTTATGAAGAAATTGCTACAAAACTTATAAACGAAAAATTTTTACTAACAGCTTTGGAATTACATGCGGAATTATGCGAAGCAGGAAGAGAATTGTTAATTCTTAAAGAATATTTTTCTAATCCAAATAATTTCGAAAATCAAAATATCAAACCAGAGCCTGATACACCTATGCGTAAGTTTATTTTTTGGGTTAATTATGATGCGCATTCTTCATACATATTTTTTATTAATTGAAAATACATTTCTAATAATAAATTTGTGTTTAATATTATATGTATATATATATATGGTTTTAATATTATATATNATAATTTTAAATATTATTTAAATAAATAATATATATATAACTATAATAATATTTAAAACTTAATACTGAGATTACATATTCGCATGTATCAGAAACGATAGTGATAATTAATGATAAATCTTAATTATTGACTTTTTTAATAGTATACGTAGTGATAATCACAACTGTTTTATGCAATGGACATACTGTATTAATACTGTTGTCTCTTAATCCTTAATCAATATGTACAGGCTCAACATATCTTTTTCCACAACCATAGAAAAAAAAAAAGACGTAAAAATTATATCCAAACATAAACATTACATATTGGAAAAAATAATCTGAATTTGTTATAATTATTACAGAAAAAAAAGACAACAATTAAATCACACGAAGTATTATTTATAAATCTGCATTAGGAAAATCTATTTTTCATATATTACTTTCTATTTGTTCTCATATTAAAAGGCATACTACAATTTAAATAATATTTATAAAAAAATTACAATGAACGTATATAAGCTCTTATTAAAAAAGTAATATTTTATTTTATAATTTCTTTAAATTTTCAATTTTATCAACTTGTGCGAGCATAAAATTATGAATGTTGTATTTATACCCGTACTATTTATTCTATAACATTGACTAAAAAGAAAAAAAAAATCCTGGATAAAGTCAACAAAAAATTTAATAATGGGATTCATAGAGAAAAAGAAAAACAAAATTATATACATAAAGCGAAGAATACAAAAATATTATAAATAATATAACTACTTTTTCTTGAAAATACTAGTCACTGTTGAGGAACTAGGTCTCTGTTGAAAAATCTTGCTCATTCTTTGTCGCATGTCCTCTACACCTTGCCCTACATTAACTGTCGCCATTGATAAGGAAAGTCCAGAACTCATTGAGCTTGATCTAAAATCGTAGAAGAATGACAGAAATAATTCTATTAATATACAAAAATATAATATCATTACCTTTCAATTGGTTTAACAATATCTTGATGAGATTCTGCTTCTCTTAATAAAGATTTAACAGTTTCTTTTTGTTGTGGCAAACTTTGATTAACCAAAGTTTCTAAATGCCTTAAACCAGGTAATACAACTCCAGAAATACATTGATTACTCAGTGGACAATAAACTAAAACTGAGTAGGCTTCAATCAAAGAATTGCACAAATCTACTTTACGATTTCGTCGCATCGCTGTTGTAGTTATTCCAGTCAATTGTGTTGCAATTACTGTAAATAAAAATAAAAATTAACTAGTGGTAATATTGGTAGCGACTTGTTTCAATATAATTACATTAATATAAAATTTTATTGTCACGAATAGAATGATTAAAAAAATTTGCATAAAGCACACCTAAATTATAGCTTTAAAAATCTTACCATCCTCTATATAACTTTGCGGACAACTTGGAGCAATATAAGCTAAAGTTGAAACAAGAGGAGTAGCTAATACAGACAAAACATTTTGTGATTCTCTAGCAATAGTTTCTAAAGTTAACCGTGCCTTATCACGTGCTTCTCTTAATTTACATTCTGTGATAAGACGACCTAAGGGAGGTATAACTGCTGCTTTTACAGTTCTGAAAATAAAAATTTGAATGAAGCTTTATCTTTCTTTTATAAATAAAAATATTACTTACATATCTTGATCACTGGCCAATGTTACAATAGCTGGAACTATTCTTCCACTTATCAATCGATCTGAAGTGTGAGCTATGACAGAACCAAATAATGTTGCAACTGCACATCTTACGCTAGATCTCTGATGCACTACACCTGTAATATATAGTCATAATAAATAGTTTAAAAACTAACATTACAGTCAATAGCAATAAGATAATCAAAATTACCGTCCCATAAGCCTGTTAGTACATGTTCTTGCATTTCTTCTTTAGCACATAATTTTACAATCGCAATTTGAAGACTTGTAATACTGATCCCACTAATAGACAAAACAACTAAAAATTGTTTGATAGATTTGGAAACTTCGATACCATTTAAAGTGCTTAGTATAATCAAGTAAGCTGGAATCAATGTCAAGCTGAGGTTTTTATTATCCATTGATAATGTTGATAATTGTTTTTCCAACTCTGTTATTTCCGATAAAAATATTGGTTGAATCTGTAACGTAAGAAAAATTCTGTAAATAAAATTGATGATACTGCTGTAATATTCAAGTGCTATCATATAGCATTATACACTGTAGGAATTACCCTTGTCTGAGTAATATATTTTCCAAAACCAATGCACAAGGATTGTATATATGTGAGCAGTGAATTTATAACACTTTCTTGTACTATTTCCGTAGATTTCACTATTTCAAGAATATCTATAATTCTAAAAACAGGCATTATAATTTTTTATAAAATGGTATATCCTATAAATTAATAGAAACTTATAAAATTTATACTACTTACAATTTATTAGTAAACCATTCTAATTCTGGCCATAAATCATTCTCCCAGGTATATAAAAAAAATGTATTTAAAAGTGCACCTACATAATACCTTTCGTTATCATAAAATAATTTTGGATTAATTATATTACACTGACATATACTTAAAAACTCGGCAGCTAAAATAACAAATTTATTGTTATTAACATAAGATATTTTATTATAATGTTTTTAAATCTGTATTTTTTATAATTTACTTACGTAATTCTATCGAAATTGAAGGTTCTATAAAACTTTTAACGGTATCAGTATCAGCAACGCACACAATGGTATGAGGAAGTAAATATTGTAATGCACCAATCAACGATTCTATTCTCTCTTCGTCTATATTATCTTTAACAGGCGAATTTTGAGAATTAATAGGTTTTATACGATTTTTTACTTTTAAAATTAAACGTGGTAAAAGATGCGACCTAAATCTTTTTAAAGATAAAGCCCATTGTGCTAGGACTGGTAAAAATATAGAAATTGTTGTATTAACTACTATAGAAGAAGAATCATTCAAGGCTGTAAAAGCAAGTTCTTCACACTAAAAAAATATAACAGGATATTAATAAGTATATATCACATCTAAAAATGATATAGAATATTACCTGAAAATATTTATCTGGTATATCCATGAGTGTTACGAGTAGAGCCAAACATTTTACTACACTAGCTCTAACTGAAGGATCTTTATCATCTAAAAGCATTTGTTGTAGCATAGAAAACGTTAGGGAATTTCTAACAGAAACTATCGTAAATGTAGCTAATGCAGAACAACACTCAACAGCTAATAATCTTCTTTCTGGATACTTATGTTGGATTTGTTCCCAACACAAAGTTAAAACTTCTTCTCCTCCGATAGGTTCATTTTCAAGATTTGCCATTGCCACTAAACCTATGAAATAAGTATATGTATATATATAAATCTTATTCTAAGTAAATCATTTGATTTTAAAATAAATACAAACCAGATATGATCATTTGTCGTTCTTCTTCTTGCGGTCTTTTTTTTAAATTAAAGAGAAGTTTTAATAATTTTTCTCTCTCCCCAGAGTCGGAATGTAAACCAACTGTGCCTATTATTAAAGGTATAACTTCTTCTCGTTTGTTTAATATAATATTAGGTATTATTCGAGGTAATGTTTGTGCCAAAATTTTAACAAATGTATCGAGAGAAACTTCACCTTTAAATGGTTCTTCTGCCACTGCTATCATATCACTTACAGTATCCACCAAACAAAGATTAAGAACTTCTAATTTAAATGATAATGCCATAAGTCTGAAATATATATACAAATATTATTTTAAACATATCTTAAAATAAATTATACATTAATTTATAAATCTATATACCTGGACGGTGCATTTGATAAAATAGTTGAACCTTCTGTAACATCAGCCCTAGGTAGCTGTATCCTTGTCCATTCTTTATCTCCTGGATCAGTTTCACCCAAACTCATTACTACCGAAACAGTATCATCTTCTTCGGGATCTTGAGTTGCGTTTGAAACATCGCGCGGGGGAGACTCAAGAATTTCAAATTTATCTGGTGTTGTAGAATTCGAATTTATAGATTGGATTGTATCATTACTGTGTTGCTAAATGAAAAACATATATATTTTATAAAAATTGGATTTTTTAAAAGCAACACAACAACAAATAATAACATTTCATTTTACCTTATTATCTGTTATCAAATTTTCATTGGTAGTATCGATATAATTCTGAAGATCCATCTGTTCTTTTTTTAATGATACAGTTTGTTGTTTTAATTGCTCTATTTGCTCTTCCTGTAATAAAATAGTAATTTTTAAATTGAAAAATTATAATATAAGCTGCACGTAAAAATCACAAACCATTTCTTTCAATTCGTTCTCTTTTCTTTCTACTTCATTATCTCCGAATTCAGTTTGAACAGAAACATTTACAGAAGGTGGCTTGTCATGACCATTAGCTCTCATGTATTCTCTATAAAGTTGTAATAATCCAGAAGGTTTTGAAATGTTCAAACCAACATCCTGCCAATCTTCGAGGTCTTGATCTTCATTTTCATCACTAAATGTTACCGATGTCAATTTATAAAAATGTGTAAGCAAATATTCATGGACAAGAAAATTTAAAGCTCTTTGTTCATGAGGTTTTATAGGATTATCATTATTAATTTTCTTTTCCGAACGTTTATCGGGTGTTGCGCCATCAAATTCTGAAATATTATTTAATTAAAAAAAATTTAACTATATAATAAAAATGTGTAAAGAAACGTTAAACAAAATAAAAGAAAAAGAATAAAGAAAACAAACCTGTAACAACAGTGAGATTTGCACGAAGGGCAGAAATACTTTCTCTTGCATTTCTAAGTTCAAATTCCAAAATCGCAACTCTTTCATCAACTCCAGTACCATCTTCAGAGTACCTTGTCATATTATCAAGGGAATCCAAAGTAGCTTGACTAGATGATCTAGCTAGTATTTTCAAAGAATACAGAAGTATATATAAGCTCACAAGTCCACTTTTCGCGTAACCACAATTATCTTAGTTAGTACCCTGACTACCAGTGGGCAAGGGTAGGTACTTAAGGCAATGACGGTGCCTAAAGCTTCGTTGTTTGTACCATATAGTCTCCATAGTTTATACCGTCATTGCCTTAAGTACCTACCCTTGCCCACTGGTAGTCAGGGTACTAACTAAGATAATTGTGGTTACGCGAAAAGTGGACTTGTGAGCTTCTATGACTTCTGTATTCTTTGGTATTTTGACACACACACACATTTATGTGCCATTTTATACATTTATATATAAATATATATATATATATATATATATAAATCTATTATATTCTTTATATATATATATATTCAGTCTTGTTTCGTACTTAAAATAAGTTCATAATGTAAATAAATCATTTTTGCCAATTTATAGGCAGAGAAAAAATATAATATTCTTGATTACTTATCAAGATTATTCATACCTTGTAAGAATATTTTATTGTATCTATATTTACAAGTATATATTTTGTGTATATACATTACACACATCGCGCACGTGCACACACACTCGCGTCTCCGTATATATATGCGTATATACAATAAGTAACATATTATTGTATCTCACGACCAATGTATCGTTATTATATATATGTGTGTATATTAAATATTAAATACTGTAGCATGTATTGTTATCGAGCAAAGAATAAATTTTATAACATATTTATTCTATAAATGCATACTCAAATTCTAATTTCTAGTTACTCATAATTAGTGTACTTCGATTTACTAGAAACTCGATCAAGTGACCAAGTTGATCTTTGTGATTTAATTGTCATAAACATAATATAATCGAGCATTTATTCAATAATTTTCGCATTTTACAAACCCTGAGCAATCTAAAGCGATTATAAGATTAAATAATATTTCCTATGGACGATACGTCCGACATTATCTTCCAGTTTCATAGCAAGGATTCTGCATGCCTCTATTTAATGAAAGTTTTAGCGTGTAACGCATACTCAATTTTGATTCCGAGCATGAAACCTCATAAAGATGAAAAATTCATCGTAATACCTATAACTAATACAATAAGGCCTATTCTAAATAATACCTACTTTCAATTGTTAAAGTAAATTGTCAGACGAACGAAAAAATACTTCAAAATAGTACAGAGACTACATATAGTAATTATTAAATTATATTATTATGTGTTAAAAAAGAGACTTAAGTTATTTTCTTTGTGAGTAGCTGCTATCCGATTTTATATATTTTAATATAGCGTCATTATAACGAAATTGTGATGAAAAAAAACGATTATTCAAACTATTAATAAATGAATACTGAACTGCTTTAATGTTGTTCAAATTCGAACATTATTATATGAATATTTTTTTTTCATATAACTTCAACAAAAGTTTCCGCGCATTTGTCAAAACAATAATCATAATCTGATTAAATTAGTAGTAGTAGCATGCTTACTATGCAGGCTCAGTTTATCAATCACCATAGAATTTCTCGAATACTTAACTATTTTATCGAAGATAAAGATGTTATTTAACAAATTTGCTAAGCATATATGCAGAGAAGAAATAATTTGAACGATCGTATGAGAAATTACCTAATTATACAGGGCTAGAACAAATTTGGCTGAGAAGTGGCCTATTGGAGTCACGTTGCTCCCTAAATCTTCGAGGAATACGAGCCGCGGTCAAGAGACACTCTCAAATGGTCTTCTTTTTCTTTGTCTCAGAATTCCCAGTGAACAGATGTGAAAATTCTGCTCGTGTAGCCAGTACTCCAAGTGCGGCCTCTGTATAAAATAATGATTATATAATTACATTATTATTACAACATAAAACTAGTATCAGTACAGTTAAATATTTGTGGTAAAACTGACAAGAATTTCAACTGTAATCAAATTAAATAAATTATAATTTACCATAAGTTACTACGTTGTCACCGGGTTTGTTGCAAGCTTGTTGAAAGATTTTATCAACATCCTCTGGTTGTAAGTGTAATGACAACCTTAAAGCTTTTCTAAGTTCTGCTAGATTAACACACTTTAATGTTTTAGAACCGCAAACCTAGATGAAACATGAATAAACATTTTTATGGGTTATAATTTAGTGTTTCTTAAAGAAATAAGTATTTCGATACTTTTCTTAGACTGCTACTTATAGACTTATGAAAAATCATTAACTTCTTTTTTTTCTTTTTAGAACTGTCATTATATATATATGTGCATATAAATATATTTGTATTTATATAATGTATACTTACATCTAATGCGATTTCAACCATATCCAATTCACAATTAGCATTTGTCGTTGCCAATATCGTGAATATATACTCTTCAAGATCTATTGTGCCTTTGCCATTCTAAAAATGAAGATACATGAAGCGAATTTGCGTTATTGCGAAAAAAATAAAACTGAGGCAATAAGATCAGTTAATATTTTACAATGAACATACTCTGTCATGAATTCGAAAGAGCTGTTGAGTAGTCGATTCCTTTTCATCGAGTCTAAGAATTCGTGCAAATTCTTGCAAATTTACCTCTTCGCCGAATTTTTCTACTTTTTTTTCTAGAAGCTCTTCTTCCGTTTTCGATGCTGTTAAACTACAAACAAACAATACTTAATTTATACAAATTTTTGTCAATTAAAGATACAAGTTTTATAAGATTATATGATTAATATTAGAAAACAAACCCAAGTTTATTTCGAAGTTTGTGAGCTTCTATTATAGTGGAGGCATGTGGTATATGTAACTGATGAGCTTTGCTGATGATTCGACAATCATCATAAGTATAATCAGAGACAGGTATTTTGAGGGCTCTGAAACCCAAGGAAAGATTGTTCCAAAACAATATCACCAAAAAGCGAATTTTTAATATACACATTTCGAGTTAGCAATGATTACTTCTACCACAGATGTTACTTACTCTGCCATAACACGACGGACATTATTCGCGTAAAGTTTGGGATCTGTTTTTTCTGCTTCACTTGGTTTATAGACAGGAAGGAATTCAATTTCACAACTGCTGTTTAGCTGAGTCAGCGTGAGCCATAATAATTTTAAACTAAAAGAAATTGGCTAAGGTAACAATTCGGGTCATTAAGTTGATTTTTTATAGTATGAAAAAAATTATATTTGTCAGTGATAAAAAAAATTTTTTTAGTGGTAAATGCTTTAATGTTGTACTTACGCTCCAGGACCTTCCCATGTCCATGTGACTGTATCTAATTTATTAGGATACCTGATACACACTGGTTGCACAGGTACACCTGGGTAGAAAGCACCTGACTTAAAAGTTATTAGGCACGAACGATTCGTGCAGGTACCTTCTGGGAAAATCATTACCTAACAACAAAATGATTTAATATATTTTCATGAATTTCAGTCAAATCTACATTTAAAGACTCAACCATAATCAATTTACCTGTGGCCAATCCTCCTTCGAAGTAGCACGTTCGATTATTTCCTTTATCGTATTTTGTCGTGAATTAGGATCTTCTCTCCATACATAAACCGGTTGCGTGTAGTTAATGAGCTCTGTATGCGAAAGAAAAACACATTAAATCAAAGAGCTCAAATGATTTCCTATGATTCTTTGCGAGAAATTATGATCGGGTATCATTCGAGCTTTGTTCGATTTTTATTCGAACGCGATTACTTTCACGTTGTTGAACGAAGATGCATGAGTTTACATTAGCATTTACGTAAATGTGTATTTGACGTAATTGTGATCTAAATTGTTAAATAAAGGTGAATTTGAGATCGTTTTCTTTTCTAACATATGGCGAATGGGGCACATATAAGACGAACATCTTTGGATTACAATTACAGTTAAAGAGTTCGAAGATAGAAAATATAATAATTAATCAATAGATTATAATAAATCTTCTTTTAAATTAGAAAAACGTCGATCACTTGCTTTTTTTATAGTTTTTGTTTTTGAAGAATTTTGAAATATATTCAGCGTTCACATACTTCCGGTAAACGGATTCAATCCTGATTCTCGTCTTACGATGATTGACGGAAATCCAGTTACGTAGACGATACCACCATCGATGAATGTTGAATGCGGTGCAACCACTAGAATTGGTGCCTCGACTCTTGAAGCCTGTCTGCCGCGTACGACGATTCTCATTCCTCCTGCCTGGTATGTCAGTCGTCCCAGAAAGCACAACCAGGGAACTATTTTGCTGTAGATTTTAATCCACACAATGCTATACTTATTTCAATTTAACACGATAAAGCTGATCGTCGAGGACTCGATTCGGATTTAATAGTATAATTTAATAGAATAATTAAATACTTCAACAAAGATTCTATTTTGTTTGCTTAAGATCAAATTATATTTTCTTGTCACTGAAATTTCTTTATTTTTTTCGATCATTTTTGTTTTAAGAAAAGAAAAAAAGTTGATCGAACGTTTGGTATGCAAAAAAATAAGTCGATGAAGTCATCTATAGAGTTCAATGATCTTGCTTATAGGAAGATCGTTGTAACGTTCCTTTTTTTTTATTTCGTAATATGAAACAGGAAAGTGAAAGAGAAGATAGAGCCAAAAGTCCTTAATGACTAGATATACAAATAACCAAAAACCCGTTGGCTAATTTAAATTAAATTCACATTTTGTCAGTCCATAAGCTATTGTGCGTATTTATTTAATGTTATCTTCTTGCACAATATTACTTATTTTTTACCCACGGCACAATCCAATGAAACTGTTAATAAGTATATTAATTTTATTGTTAGAACACGAAAATGATCCCATCCACCATACGTATGTACACGTGTGCATAAATTTATTTCTAAAGGCATTATATCTATGCATAACTAATCATTTCAATGAAATTATATTATTATGGAAACATAGTATTCATATTTTGCACAAATCTAGAATAAATGTAAGAATAGATATTTTGTCATTTAATTCTATAAATGAATTAGTGTTAATATTTATTTATTTATAATGATATTAGTAAAATGATAAAATCATTTAAACAAAACGATTTATTTTCTTCATATATTCACTTATTTACGGGAAATAACTTGTCGATGTTTTTCTTATACATTGCATGGAATGATTCGAACAAATACTCGGTCAATGTACGCTCAACATCGTTTTCTCGACTGGCGAATAAAAAGGAAAAAGAAATAACGATGAGATGATGATAATTGAGACCTACTTCCGAAGAAAGGAATGCGGCTCGTCTCTCCTTTGGCGACTATGCTTGGTCCACCAAGGTAAACGACCGGAAGTGCATCGAAGAAGCTCGAGTGTGGTGCAAGGGCTAGCACCGGGGCATCCTTTGTTTCTGCTTGTCGACCTTTCACCTTCAGCTGATGAAATCCACCACAGATGAATAATACTCGCATCATCCAGCAGATCACGATGCGCATGTCTCTGTTTCGTCATATGTTTCATATATATGATGATAATTTCTTTTCCAGTTACGGAAACATACTTGAGTATTTTTTATGATTTTCGACGAAAGAGAAAGGGAGGCAAACAAAATGAATGCATTTAGGTATTTACTTTCGTTTCTATGTAATATTGACAAATTCGCATGCAAACGTAACTTCTTTCAACTAAGCGTTTTCTATTTTGTTGTGTGAATGAATATCGTTGTATTTGAATTTAATTGCATCCGATTTTTGAAAATTCGTCGATTTTTGTTACATCATGTAACACGTATAGTTAAGAGATTTGATAATTAGAATCATGATATATTTAAATTTAATGATCTATTAATTATCGATTATTACAATATTAACATTTAATCAATCAAAGGAAATGTTATAGTCATTGGCTTTGTCAATCCATTGCTACGGAATTAGCTTGAACTTGAACTTCCATTTTTTGGTCGAGGCTTCTATAGACGGTATAGATTCTTTTATTATTTCAAAAGAACTTCTCGTCAGAATTCATTATCACCACTAACATATCCTCTAATCAAAATTTTATAGAGCGAACTTCGAACGATAAGAAGGTCAAGGATTTTTATAATATAAATCACAACTGCGCAGGTACTTTTTTTTTCTTTTATTATCAATGATTAAAGTGAAATAAAATGAAATCAATTAATTTAACGAGGATTGGTATCAATATTACTTTGTTGTTAAAATTGAAGATTTGTTTCGATTGAAGTAATGGTCTTTTTACGAAATATCCTATGTTCTTCCATTTTCTAGGTAATCTTCCGTTATAAAAATTTAAACAGAAGTCTCGAGTGTGTACTTTCGATGTCATTTATAAAACGCGCGGTCATAGCAGGTGTATGAAGGTGAAAGCTATTCGATATGAGATAGAAACTTAGTATCTCTAGTGGTTATTTACATTTTATTGTGCGATACCCAATTTGTACATTTCATGCAAGTTTGTTTAAATGTTATAATATTATTTACAAGTTTAGTAATTGCTTTAAAAATGATCAAATATAATACGTAGTTTATTAATTACTGCAAAAAATGAATTATGTGTTAAATTAAGCATGTGATCCCTTAAATGATTAATTATTTATGAGATATAATGAGGAATTCATCTAAAAGTGTACGCATTCTCTATGGTCGAAAAAATTTTAGCTGATGTATCAACGATTTATTTAAAATATTATAAACGTATCGAAATAATGTTATTAGATACTATTAAGTTTAGTATTTGAACATATTAAAAGTCAATTCAATATTTTAATATAATATACGTTCAATTATTACTTATTTTACATAATATTTTTCGAGTTTCAAGTTTCGAGTTTCTGTTAGTCCTCAGGAAATTTTTTCTTTTGCAAACATTTCGGAGGCCAAAGAAGGATAGATAATAAAAGTTTCCTTTCATTTCAATTATAAATTTAATTTGGCATAAATGTTTATTTCAATTTTTATTTTAAAAATATTAATTTGTTTCGTGGGTCGCGTCAGTTGGACAGCGCTTCTTTATACTAATATAGGCATGCCAAATTACAAATTCAACATAATTAAATGCATCCAAACATTGATAAGTGATACTATCATTAATTTTACAGCATACAAGTTTTAAGCTTTAATGTAAGGGTTAATTATCAAAATTTTGTGTTAGTTACTAACTAATTATTATTGAATTAAAACTAATTTATTCGCTACTATCGACTTCTGTAACGTTAGTCATTTCGCAACGACAGCATTATCTGCAAGTATGGTGTTACTATACAGGCAATCAAAACGGGAGTGTGCACTTCAACGCGAACCGATTGTGTACTTTATCACGAACCGAACATATATCTACCGTATTGCTGACAAAGTACAATATTTAATACTTTGTCGCGTCACGTAAATTATTGCTTTCTTATAATATTGTTGTATCGAGTTAATATAATCGAAGCTGTGAATTAATGCAGAATTTCAAATATATTATTAAAGTCATCGGTAGTATGAAGCGAACGTGCTGTAATTATAGTCATCATTGGCAACGAAAGGGTTAACAAGCAAGAGGTAAGTGGTTATATGCTGTGCAGAGTCAGCCGAGAGAGCAGGTATTATTCACAAAAGTTAACGTGGTGCTGCTACCTTTCGAGCATAAAATAATCACTCGGACTTTTTTCGGGTCAACAGGAAAGAAATTTTTTTGTCAAGCTCTATGATGTTAATTAAGCTTATCCTAATAAAAATTATTTAAATAATTATTTCCAACATTCGCCGTTAGAATTTAACAATATCAATGCTCCCATTGATTTCAACTATAACCAAGAATCTACTCTTTATTTGTATATGAATAAAACATAACGTAATACTGATCCTGCATAGTAATTATATTTAGATAAAGAACTTGATTTGCGAAAGAAATAAAATGTTCTGTATTTTATCATAACTTACCGTCTCCATCCTGTAAGAGGCGCTCGACGTAAATCTTCTTCAGAAAGTCCATAGAGACCCAAACAAGCCAAAAGCCAGGCCATTATCACCAAAGCGGTAATCGCAGCTAGCCTTAGTGGTAGCAGGGCTACCGTCAAAAATGCCGTCTGTAACATGAAATATTCATAAGATTAAATTCATATATTAACATGTACGCATATGCATATACGTATCATAGATTATATTATTCATTTAAATCAAGTAGCAAACACATTTTCTTAAGAAGTTTTCCAACGATTTTCGTTTTGTCGATCTTCACAGGAAAACAGATCATTTATCCTGCAGATGAATGTTTTACCAAGAAGAAGAAAAAGAAGAAGAAAAAGAAGAAGAAAAAAAAGAAGAAAAAGAAAAAGAAAAAGAAGAAGAAGAAGAAGAAGAAGAAGAAGAAGAAGAAGAAGAAGAAGAAGAAGAAGAAGAAGAAGAAGAAGAAGATAAGCGAGAAGAAAAGAGAGAGAAAGATTAAGAAAGGAAAACGAGTACCGTTTGCTCGTTCCGTTAGTTTGGCTTACGCTGTAACTTATCGTTCCACGTGTATTTCTCTCACTCGATCTTTCAAGATCGAGGTTACGGCCGAAAGATTATTTTCGATGCAACGACGATGCGTTTCTGGATTCAACGGTACAAGGTTGCGTGTACCGCTGTCCTTATTCTTCTGCCGGTTCCTTGGCCTCTTTTGAAGTCACGAAAAATGTATATGAGAAAGTAGCACATTTTTCCTCGGATTATTATATAAATCGAGATCGTTATTTCGTGTGGTACTTTCATGTACCAAAACGAGCCATCGAGTTCCAAATCTATTGCTACTTAAGATTTTCACTTTGGTCATTTACTATATGAGTCTTCATATTCGAAATATTTCATTCGCGTGATATAAAAAATTCTAGTAGTAGTTCGTAAGAAATTTTAACAATAAAGTCTTTAGAATTCACGTTAGAATTTTATTCGATTTTTTAAATTTTAATGATGCGTTCTTTTTCCTTTCTTTGTAAATTGTTCATTAAAGATATCTTTCTTGACAAAATATTAACATGATTAAAATTTTTTCAAGTATTTGGATTCTATTCAACCTTGAACGTTGAAAGTACTCGAAGAAAATAAGTATATAAGACATGCAGTGGGCAATCTAGTTCTAGAATGTCATTCCAAGTGATGATTCGCTCGAATTCTAACAAGCTATAATTTTTGATAAGAAATTTTACCATTTTGCTTTGATCGTAGAGCAATCATGTATAATATCGTATATCAAAAGTAGAAGTATAATGAATTTTATTATGTTCCTGTTTTAATAAGATTAAGTTTATGTATAATTTGTATATTTATTTTTCAATATTTGAATGGAAATTGAATGAAAAATAAACTCACTTATCTAACGCCGCATTTAATTTGTCCAACTATTATTTTTTGTAGCAAAGTAATTGTAATTAATATACAATTTACCATGAAGAACGAAAAAGAAATCGATATGGAATCATACATTTGGGAGGGATAGAAATATCAGCGAATGATGATTCAATAATATTACAAAATCATTTTAACCTTCTACATGATAATAAGGTTGCTATTTAACATTAATATTCACCGTGCAAAGCACCGTGCAAGCGAGTTTTCTGTTGTAAATTTTTAACGAGCCTCTCAATATCATTTACCTATTTTTTCAAGGATCCATTAAACGTGTTGTTAACCTTCCTATTGAATCACGTAAAAACAATAAAAAGTAGATAAACAAATAATAATATTATGTCGGATATCATTCTTTTTTTTATTTTTTTAATATGAGCAGAAGGTTTTTCTCATTATTTATTCAGATGTTGTTTTAAGATCAACCTCACGCATGCTATGACCATGACCAAGAATTGTGTCAAGTTCTTCCAAAAGGATGAGAAGACTATTCCTTGACTGAACGAATTGAAGTTATAAAATTTTAGGAAAGAAGCATCATTAAAAGTCATTTTTTATATTGAGAAAAAGAGAAAGAAACAAATTATATATAGATAATATCTATGAAAGATATTTAAGCAAAAAATAAAAATAAAAATTGTAGTCCTTGATAAACTGTACTGTGCATATTATTTGATGACATTCAAATGTTATGTTTTACAAGTTTCCTTATAATTTTATTGGAGAATTTCGAAGTGTGTATTACATATAATAAGAATATCTTGCAAGAATAAATAAGTAAAGGGTGTGAATGACGTAAGCGAAGGCTCAACAATTCTGTCATTCGTTCCTTTTTTTTCTTTTCTTCTTTGCTTTTTACGCCGAATACATTTCGCCGAAGTAGACCCTCATATTTTGTGACCCACATCTGGCAAGGCACAGTTAGTTAAAAAAGTGGGGGAGGTTAACTTTTGCTTCTTTCCGTTTTTTTTACCCCTTTTATTCTAGGGAACAACGACAGAACCATATAGATTTTTATTACTTCTTGCATTCTATATATTCTTCAATTTTTGCCAATAAATGTATTTCACTTGATTTTATTATGTAACTTCATTAAATGCATTTTTTTCAATGTAATATAAAATAATATAAAAAAATATATATTATATATTATACAATGTAATATAATATAAAAATATATGTATTATTATATTCTAGATATATATATTGAAATATTTATACTAGTGATTGCTACATCATTTTGTTGTTTTGATAAAAATAAATAATAATTAAATGATTGAAGAATTTCATTTCTAAATCGTTTTCATCAAAATCAAATACTTGATTTTGACGCATATTTTTAAAAGGGTTGAAAAATAGAAAGAAAAAGAATAAAAGAAAAAATTGCACTACATAAGGTTTATATCGAATGTCGGGATGTTTGTGGTGAGAGCAGAAAAGTGTCGAAGAATAAAGATGAAAGGCGTCGACGGTCTGTCTTTATAGCTTTCCTTGCTTTACGAGTTTAACTTTCCGATTTGTTCATGGTAGCTTTTTCTCTGTGACTATGATCTTTCGAAAATATAAAACACCGTTAGAATAAATTCATTTACAAATAATACAGTCGATGTTCAGATATAATTTCTTTTTTAAAATGAGATAAAATGTACACAGATATACAAATTTAAGTAGGTAAATACATAAAAATTATATGTATGCGTGAGTTTTAAAGGATACGTCCTTAGACGTAAAAAACGAAATTCTTTTTGTCTAACATAAATTGAACTTTATTTGATGTGACCTACTTTTTTTTTTGGCTTTCAAATGAAGATGTTTGGTCCTTTTTTGAACGCTCGAAACATCAACAAGATCTTATGCGTGTATTCTTCTTGGTATTTGATTTCATCAATTTTATATACTTGAACGTAAATATCTTTGTTTAATACATAAAAAATACGATAAATGGTCAAATTCACTTTTATTTAAAAACAGAAAAATAATAAAAGTTTTTGTTGATTAAAGTTAAAAACTTTTCAACCTATCTTTGTATATAAGAATATTTTAAATATTTATTTATTTGATTGTTACGTTTTACAATATATGTATTCATGTTTGCAACATGCATTTAACGTATTTCGAAAGTAGGACATTCATTTAATAGTTCTCCTAGATTTGCAAATATTCCTAACGAATAATAATTATTCTTCATTCATCGGCTTTCGCTCGATGAACATTTATATCCGAGACTCGTATTGAAAATCGCTTTCACTGATTAGCGACATAAAATTGAGAAGCATTATCCGGCGCAAGGCGGTTTGAAATTCTAATTTTCTAGTTGAGAAATGTACCACGTTCAATTATGTTTTGTAAAAGACGGCGCTTCCTTTTCCTATCGTTTATATTCAATTTACATATAGTACAAATCTAAATATATATACTGTATTTTGAAATGTTTATTAAGAAGGGATCAAATGTGAGAAAAGTTACTAGATACGAAGAAAGAAATATAGCAAGATTTAAATCTTGCTGCAACAATTTGATTATAGCAAACGACAATACAAAATATTTATTTTAATACAACTATACTTTTCCTAACGCTTACGTCAATCTACAGTCATATCTATATATATCAGGTAATACTTTGATTGTTAAAAATAACGCGAGCATATTATAGTTATAGACAAGTGTTCGAACAATAGTCTTGTGCATAAGAAAGTTAGACAAATTTGTAAATTAGTATAAATTTGTATAAATAAAATAAAGCAAATGAATGATATTGTACAATTTAATAATAAGCTTATACATAAATTATCCGTTAATGAATAATCAACAAAATGTTCTGAAATAATACGGGTAAGAACGTAAATTGTGAATAAGACTTAAGTTGTATATAAATAAAATGATAAAGATAATATTCGTTTAAACATATCACACGCGTCAATTCGTCATGCACTAATTTTTATATGAAAAAATATCCACGAATGTAACTGTAAAAACAAATGTCACATCACGTACTACGGTATACATATATGAAAACTTTCTCTTTCTCTCTTTCTTTCTTCTTGGTGCAAGCTGGCATATGTAATTGTTAAAGAGATTTCTTACTCCAAACAGGTTAAATTTTGCGAGGCTTCAAATATCAATATTATACGTGGACACTTTTGCACATTCCCTTTTCTCATTTGAATCTTCTCAACTTATCGAATCTTAACAGAATTATTATGATAAATGTTAATGATAAATATTACTTCAGTATAAGATTTCAACATTCGTTATTAATAGAAATCAAATAGATCGAAAAATGATCTGGAATCATTTGTTTTTTATTGATAAAAAAATCATTAATTATTCAAATTTAAATTTGAAACAATCTCTATTTATTTATTTTCATTTAAAGTAGGCGTGACAATATATCGGTTTACAAACAATAGTGTTGAACTTTTAAAAGGTCTTCTTTTCATTCTATCAAGCATAAATTATTATGTTAATAATTTATAATCATTATAATCATTTTTTCTCTTTATTCGCTTAAATACGTAAATTATTATTTTTCATAAAAACAAAGTTACGCTCTTTCTTACATTTTTTTTTAATTTAAAATGTTGCTATTTCCTGTTACTTTAAAGAAAAATTTGTATGTTAATTTAAAAAGTGCTTGTTATTTATTTGATAATAAAGCATAAAAATCGATCAGTAAGACGTAGTATTTTTTCGACGATTAAACATATTTTAAAACGTAATGTTAAAAACGATAAAAGAAAGTATTCACAAGTGACTTCCTTATTTTAATATGCAAATGAAAAAATATAAAGTTTGCAATAAGTTTGGAAATAATGTAAACAAGGTAATACAGATAACTATAAGAAAATATAATTTGTATTGTATAAATATACCTATATATTGTATAGAAATTAAAATGTTGGAAAGACTTTCTACGATCGACAAAGAGCAAAGTTTGTACGAGTGAAAGTAGGGATCTGAAAAGAGGAAATTAACTTGTCTTTATATCGCTTTTGTGTTGAGTTTCATATCAATTTTCGAGTCATAAGAAAAAATTAGAAATAGATCGAGTGATAGAATTAGGTCAATCACGCCAAAGATACCTATTTATTTTTTCTTTTTTCTCATTAAATAGTGATTTTTCTTATCCTTTCTTTCTTTGGTGTACAACCTACATATTAAATCGTTTGATGTCATGGGCGCTATACTTCTTTCTATATAGCCACCTGTACACACTTAAGAATGTTAATTTGGTGTTGAAATATTAAAATGAGTATAATCGAATGTTTTCATGTAGACGGTTGTTTAAGTATCCTTAGTTCAACAAACTTTAGGAGAAAGTGACGACTAACCACGTCATTGCGTATACATGTTTTAGCACTAATTCAAATATCAACTTATGTCCTTCTTACCAAAGTAAACGTTATTTCATGCGTAAAACAATTTGTTAAAATATTAAATTTAACTACGATGAATAATTGCTACAAATGATGAAATAACTTGATCCTATTTAATAGCTATATATACTATATTAATGAGCCGTTTATTTTGAAAGTGGCATAAGTCACTTTTTCAAAAATATCGAATTAATTACAATTGAACGGTATCTTTTCATTTAAAAAAAAAAAAACAAAAACAAAATAGTGACTTATGCCACTTTCAAAATAAACAGCTCAATTTTACATAATAAATTTAAATTTATTAAAATATAGAATTGGAATTGAGAAAGTAATGAAACAAACGGAAATCCTATATTAAGAAAAATAGTAATTATTAAACTTAACTGATAATTATTTACGAAAAGATATATTGTATAAACAGTTTATAAAAGGGGGAGAGGTTAAGACCTGCTTCTTAGGCTCACCCCTTATGACTCACCCGACTCCGAACAGATGCGCGAGAATCGATCCCAAGGGAGAATTTCCGCGTGTGAAAAGAGTGTGCTCATAGTTAAACTGACGAAAGAAGGAAAGAGAAAGAAATACTGACCTTGAGTTTATCGTAGGTCGTGTCAAGCTCGAGTCGATGAACGAAGGGATTGAGAAGATCAGCACTGAGGGATGCAGCATCCACCTCTTCGTGCTTCTTCCCTATCCTCCCATTAATTTCCTCCATTTTTCTTTTTACTCACAAATTTTATTTATGACGAACGTTAAGCTAAAACGTTCTCAACGGTTCGTTTGTTCGTCTTTCACGGATCCTCGATAGTTTCTGAGACGATCAAGGGAAATAACGACGCGTCACTCTTCGTCAACGACGATTATTCTTCTTGACAGAGAAACAGAGTGAGAAGTAACGTTTGTTTCTTGTAGGAAAGTGGGAGAAGGTCAAAAAAAGATATAAATGGATAAAGAGGGATAAAGATAGAAAGAAAGAAAAAGAGAGAAGGGGAGAAATATAGATATATAGAAAAGAGAGAACGAAAAGTCGATGATCAGTTACGAAGTAGCACCGTCACGCGCACGTAGGGGTTGTCAGTTCACGACGTACTGTGCCTCGCCGCCCGTTTAATATCGTGAAAACGAACGACCAATGCACGTTTCCTTGTCCGACCACCACCGAGCTCTGACGAGTATTCTCGAATCATTAAGTATGCGCGCGCATATCGGTCTAAGAGAAATGCTTTCGCTCGTTTTCGGTAGCTATCCCTTTGGAACGCGAAAATACACGAGCGATCTCGGAACGCCATTTTTTTTTCTTTTTTAACAATGAGGGTGAATTTACACGATTTCCCGTCTGCGTTTGTGTGCAACGGAAATATGAATAAGGCTTTGATACTATATTTTAGTCTATGCGATTTCTTTTTTTCTTGACGATTGTATTACTCTAATAGATGACAAAATTTTTTTTATTTTTTATTTATCTATTCTTTTTTTTAATGAAAATATGAAATTTGGTAAGCGAAGATCTCAATTATAATTGATCTTCTTAACGATCTCTCTCTCTCTCTCTCTCTCTCATATTTTTATCGATATGTACGAAGAAGTGAAAATAATTCATCTTCGATACTAATTGTTGTACAATGGCGATATATCTAATAGAATCTACACTCGCATATATCTATGCACGTTAAAGATCAATAGTGCTTTTAAAGAGGAATCGTGCGCATCGTTTTTCTGAATTTGTCCTTGCTATGTTGGTTTCGTGAATTAAAAATTATTAACTGAAATTACAAACGTGAAAATAGAATAAAATAAAAATTGACTTCAGTAGTTATGAAAAAATGCAAGGTTATTTCACTTAAATGTTTAGATAAAAATATTGATAGTTTCAGTGAATCATTTTAAACTTTTCAAGTAAATTGCGTAATTAAATAGAATATATCTGTTATTTAGTGTCGTATAAAACTTCGTTATCAGTTTTTACTGCATACAAAAATGCTTGCATGTAAAAGTTTATATATAAAGATTTTGGACATACTTTTTTATTTTCTAAAATTTCTTCATTTATAATTTAATAATATTGACTATTACAATTTATTGTTGTTAGATTATTTTCATAAATAATAATGTTGAATAAAAGAACTTATCTTTTCACGTTATTTAAAAAAAATATATATTTTATTACCTTTACATATATATATGTACTGGATATATATATGTATCGTATTATATGTACGGAAATATATACGATCGTTTAAATATATATCCCTTACGTACGTAAAATTTTGTCCTTGTCGAAAAGGAATGTGAGATGTGTTGTTATTTTGTTTGTTTCAAATGAAGGAAATCGTATTAAATCGTATTATACGTATATAGCTTACCTAGTTGAACATTGAAAATTGTCTCGATAATATCGATATTACAATTTTATAAAAAATTTGGAACAATCGGAGTATATCTATTATCGATATAAAAATTCATCCGTGATTAAATTACATTGCAATAATATCGATCTTAAATTCGTTAGATTACGATTATTCAATAGGTTCGAACTATTGGAAATGATGTAATCTGTGAATTTTCGTACGTTAGCTGGCTCGTTAAAAACGTAATTATTGCCATTGAGAACTAGTTTGCACGATAAACTTTAATGATGCATTGTTCGAAGACGATGCGCTTGCTGTTTTTAATACTAAGTGTAATTGGGTATAATGAAATCATTCATTTAATCCTTATGATAATTATATCTTTTCATTAGAATCATATAATCATCATATTTAATATAGATAAACAAAGAAATTCTTTTTTAAGAATACGATTGCACATTTACCATTTCGTCTGTAGTTTCATTCGCAGATGGTATAGTCAATGATTATCCAACTAACAATCGATATGTATGCAAATTGCACAATTTCAAAGAATACAGAAGTACATAGAAGCTCACAAGTCCACTTTTTTTCTAACCGGATTCATCTTAGTTACTACCGCGACCATCAGTAGGCGATAGTAAGTACCTAATGCAATGACAATACAAACCACGAAGTCTATATGTTACCGTCATAGCCGGAAATCCGTCATTACTAGTAATTCCTCGGCATTGTCATCAATGCAAAGCGCCTTTTGACAAAGTTGGAAATGTATTCATATTTCTCACATTTCCTTGAAATTCTTCCTAGAATATTTCGTTCTAAACCCGCTTATCTTCCGATACGATAAGGAACAAAAGATGCAGATTTTCAAGACATCTCTACAAATATCTGTTTATCGATATCAATTTAAAGTTGATTTCCAAAGTAATAATCTATAGGGAAGTGAAAAGAAATAGGCTAATCGTTCATAATGTATAGACAATAGGTATAAATATTTTGTAAATTATAATTTTTCTTTTAAATATATCCCCTGCAGGTATACCAACTTTACTTTCATTTTTTTCAAAGTGCGCTTGCGTTTTGAATTTGTGGTTGCGCATGCGTATAACATATCTGCCACTCATGACGTCGACATTTCATAATTATTCAAAGTGTAATAATTATTTTCAACTAATTAACGATAAATAAAAAAGAATAATTAATAAATAAAAGTTAAGGAGCCGGACAAACAAAAAGTCAGCAACTGATTGAAAACAAGAAACAATAGAAAACTTCATTGCTTTGCTCGGAAATAGAAAAAAACATTTTTGTATTTTCAATTATTAATAACTTATTAAATAATTAATTAATAAAGCGAGCAATTATGGATTTTGATTGAGGAATTAGTGAGCAATTAAGAGTATTTATTAATTTTTTTCTGCTGTTGGGGTTCTATGCCAACTTTTCTGTGGTTAATTTTGTTCATTCAATTTTTGAAAATAAAATAAAATTTCATATCGAATAAATAGAGGATGTTTTTTTAATAAAATGTAAGTTGCGTTAGATGTTCTATTTGTATTTGTAAAAAATATGAATATAAATGATAAAAATAAATTTCCCACAAGTGTGTCATGCAAGAAATCAATTTGAACTGCAGGCTCCATCAGTATTGACCGGTTAGCGAAGTAGTCGACTTAACCTATAAAAACACTATGGCGAAAGAATTGCATAAAAGTCTAATAAATTACTTTTTGCATCTGAAGGAATTAGACGAAAAATGGTTGGAATTATTCAAAACTGTGGAACGACCGTTGCAAGCTTTGAAAAATCAATGCGAACAATTACGCCTTGTTTCGAGGTAAATTTTCATTATTTATTTTTTCAAATTATCGGATACAGGAAAGTATTTGCTTATACTTTTCAAGCAAAAATTCACATGGAGTTAATTGAATAATATCCTTAAAGATGTCGCTTTTTTACAGTAAGGATCTCGATAACGAAGGAATTTGTATGATCGATCACGCGCGAGAGAAACTTATTTTTAAAATTTTCATGGGTATAGAAAATGAGATTTCACTTTTATTAGATTTATTGAAGTCTTTTAAAAATGCTTTACAGGTAGTCATTTTAAAAATTTGATGAACCTTTCTTAAAGTAGATTAATTTATCGACGAATGATCGAATGTTGCGAAATATTTGGTAAACATGAAATATATTTCGTATTATTTCAGGATTTAAAGAATCGATTAAACAATTTGGAAAAATTTCGGAGTAATGTTTCGTTAGGTGACAAAGATATGAAAGATATCGTGAATGGAACACCTTATCGGCCAAAATTAAATTTACTTTTAGAATGGGCTATCGATGGTTTTCAATATTATCACGAATTGTATCCTTTAAAATAATATTATTAAAATAATTTTTTTTTCAGAGTTGTCATAGTTTAGAGTAACTTCTAGCATATAAACAATATTTCATAAGTAATGATTTTTTAAAGGATTTTTATTTTATACCAATCATCTTATTATAATTTCTTATATATGGAGTATAGATTTCAGCGTATTGAAAACAGCATAAAAAATATGGATTATAGAATTGAAGAATCAGTTAATAAATTTGCCGATTCTTTTGTAGAAGATCGGTATAAACGAAATAAATTAAATAGTAAGATTTTCTATATAATTTTATCTAATAATCTAATATGTTATGTTATAAGACTAATTTATGAAATATTTCAGGGATACTAGCATTTACTCAATTTTTAATTATGGAAAAAGTTTAATAAAAACTTTTAAACAGTTTGTACTTCTTTATTATATTCATTTTCCATTCCTTCCTATATATATAAAGATTTTAGGAGATAATTGAAATTACCAAAAATAGCGCCATGGATTTGGTAAATGTTCAAATTGTTTCCTAAATTTGCCTCTAACATAAAATCGATTGTACTAACTAACTATAATTTTCAAATAAAATATACGTTGAAGTACAAATTAGATTTTGAACATATTTGTTACTGGTAATATTAATTTTAATTTTAACAAAAATAATAAATAGAAATTTGAATGTCTATATCATAATAATTGAAATATTTAATATCGCAACGTATTTAAACATACATCATAATGACTTTATCGAATTACGAAAAGACAAAGAGGTTGATCTCCTTTTAAAGTATTACATTCAGTTCCTGTGTTTTGGAATTACAGAAAATCGTCATTTTTTAGAACTTTAATGATAAGCCTAAAAAAGGGTGTTGAGCTTTCTAATGATCAACCAATCAGCTTACAGTTACGAAATACACATATTTTAGATCGGAGTGTCTTGCGGAATCGTCGAGGCGCCGGCGCCTGCTATTGATTCCGGTTTATATCGTGATTTCAAAAGTTATCATCGTGGTAGAGGGTGCCACAGTAGCCAACTCTTCCTTGTACTCGAAGGAGACCCTCGCGCTTTTCTTCGATTCACCCTTACAGGTCAGTGGTGAACTTGCGACGATACTTTTCGTCGGAATACCGATTCATTTTTTTTTATATTAATCATTTGTGTTTGCAACATGTGAGAGTATGTTATTTTATTAAATATTTTAATTAATATTCTAATCGTTATAGTGGGAACACTATTTTATAGAGATATCCGCGAAAAAATATATGATTTTTTTGAATGGATAGCCTTGTAGATATTACAAATGATAAAAATTCATTAAATACCGAAACTATATGCTCATTCATGAGAAACTTGCTTATTGTCTCTAATATTAATGATGTCAGTGGTGTACTGATAATAGCTTGTATCATCTGTAAAGGATTGGCGCCTCGGAAATTGTGGGTATAATATCGATAATTTTTTGTTTCTAAAATATATCACATAAATATCTGTTCGTGATAAGAGTAATAATTGTACGACTTAGATTTTCCTACCTGGTAAATATTTATTTGCAATATTTCAAATTTTAAATTAAAAATTCGCTTTTTTCTCTGAGGATTTTCTACATATGGTGCGAAATATCTACATATGTTATTTATAAAAAGACAATTTGTATAAACGTTTTTATTAATTAAAAGTTTTTTCTGTTCTTCTGATTAATTTTTATGTTTTTTCGTGATACTTTATATATGCATATACACCTATCCCCTGATTTACACGGAAGATCGGTTCCTCAAAATACCGTGTTAATTGAAATCGATTTTTTTTGTATATAAAACCGTATAAATCAAAATACACTAAAACGTGCATTGTTTTTTTATTTAAAGTTTAATCTTTGGATCATTAACCCTTCTTTGCATGATTTTTTCTTTTCTTTTAAAATAAATCAGGGTGATGTAATTAATGCTCTAGATTAAAGGAAAAATATTTTAAAAAATCCTAATGCTATTTTTTGACAACTGCGTTTTGTTGTACGCAATAGTCGCTTAAAAAGTTGCCAGCAACAACAAATATACAGTACAAGGGTTTTGAGTACCTTTTTTTGTTGACTAAATATTATGATTGAAATTTCCATCATCATGCAAAGAAGGGTTAATGTCTTTTTCATATTTTCAACTGCAATATCTCTTACGTATGAAGCTGTGCTCATAATCGTACAAGTTCCAGCTGCTACACTTTTTCTAATAAAATTTTAATTATTTCTTACAGTTCTTATTGTGACTTCATTTATGGAATATAATTTAATTACTTTTTTCCGTTACGTTTACGTAGACGTAAAATTTGAATTTTGATTTCTAAATATATTACTTTTCTTTTCACTCGTTTTTTTGTAATTTCTCTCGACGTGGTACAGTGTATAAAATTTTAAGTTAATTATAAAAATGCTACAAAAACTATAATTTCTTATCACTAACTGGTAAATATAAAGATTTAAAAAATGCCGGTTAAAAAATGCATACCGATACATATCTTCCTTCTGCTAAAGATCTACCGAGATTTACTATGCTAATTCATATGAATGGTTTTTGTGTGTATACAAAATAGGGAAATTTCCTTTTTTAGAGTTAATGCCAATACTATCAATTAAATGGAATTAAAAATTGACTATGGAAATATATATACAATAAAAATGTTTATTTTTAACAATGTTATTTTTTAAATCTGTTATTTTAAAAATAGCGTGAATAAAGTACCGTGTAAATAGGGAGATAGATGTATATACATATGTAAAAAGTTTAAAATTTAATAAAGTGACAATTTCGATTTTTTTTAATGATCAATGTGATAATTTTTCTTTTAGAGTATTTATATAAAAGAACCTGTCGATAATTTTTTTGCGAGTAAGATATATAAGAATAAAATATGTAACATATGAATATACATATAAGTACCTTTATGATTCATGTGTTTTCTTTGCTTGGTTATAATACATATACATATACATATATATGTATAACCCTCTGGGGCATATGTTATTAATCTTTCGTGTTTGCCGCGCGTGACACTTCGTTCTATAATGTATATGTTACGAATAAAATTGAAGATGCAAATTCACATTTTTATATCATTTTTAACATTCAAATACATTTAGAGTCGCATATAATTGTCTGCTAAACGTATCCCAATTGTCGACGATCAAAGGAAAAGTTTATAAGAATGATATCAAATTTTATTAGTACATTAATAAAAAAACTTGCGTAATTTGTAAAAATTTAAATAAAATTTCCGCGTAAAAAACTTTGGCGACGTGATCGTAAACTTTCAATGTGTAGTTATACAGTCCAAGAAATAAAAAAGAATAATAGAGAAAACTTTTATATAGTTTTCGACGGATCAAAATATATAGATTAATTTTTTTCATGGTAGGATGGAGTCTATCGGTACGTGTGGAATATTAGTTCGATTCTCGTAATATAATAGCAGTCAAAGGATAACTGGACGTGGAAAAAAAAGATAAAGAAGACTGAAAAGAAAAAAAGAAATAAAATGGCAAACACGGCACATCTAGTTCGTCGTCAAAGTTCTCGGGATTTAAAGCCACAAAAGAGCGTCGATAAATTGGAAATGAAAGAGATGAGAGGTAGATTAGTTGTGGATAATCGTAAAAATATTACCAGTGTCAATTACGGAGCTACGAACGCAGCCTTTGATGACTCCAGTCCAAATAAAAAGGTATATTGTACTTTTATTATATCTTTTTTTTAAAAAACATTTTACTGTATTTAATGAATTTTGTAACGCGTATGTTTTGCTTTCTTTGAATTCACTTTATTTACATTCATTACCTAATGTATTCATTACAGAGTAAACCGGTGAACGAAGGTGGGGGTAGTAAATTAGGCAGTAACGAGGGTAAAGGAATTTTTCGACCAGAAGCTGGCGAAGATGAACGTGAAAATTGGGATAGCAAGCTCACGTTTCTTTTGGCTACTGTCGGTTATGCCGTTGGTCTCGGAAATGTGTGGAGATTTCCTTATTTGGCACAAAAAAATGGTGGTGGTACGTTTATTGAATTATACATAATTTTATATTATTATTATACTATATTAGTTTTCAAAAACGGGAGATGTAAATGTTATATATAGACGTAAATCTATAGCTATAACATTTACATCTATCTCTCTTATTTCGGAGAATATTTTATACAACGAGGACAAGTGTTTCAATTACGATGATCTAGCTTATATCAAGAGGTATACATTTATATATATATTGTATGAATATTTATTAGAAAAAATTGAACGGTAGTTAATGATATACTATGAATTCGATGATTATAATAAGTACATTAATCGGTCTATTTTATTACAGGAGCATTCCTGATACCCTACTTCGTTATGCTGGCCATTGAGGGTATTCCTATATTTTACCTTGAATTGGCTATTGGCCAAAGATTAAGAAAAGGAGCAATCGGTGTTTGGAATCAGGTGATTTTAAAACATAATATTGAAATATTTACTCGGCCAGTCAACAGGTTTCAAAACAAATTCGATTTATATGGTAATAATTTATACGTGATTTTGTTGTTGTTATGTAGGTTTCACCATACATGGCTGGTATCGGAGTTAGTAGTGCTGTCGTTTCTTTTAACGTAGCCCTTTATTACAATACTATTATCGCTTGGTGCCTCTTTTATTTTGTCCAGGTGAGCCACGAAGTTATTTCACATTTTGCGTGAACTTTTAAATCAATACAAAATTTTTTTGTTAAGAGTTTTCAATCTCAACTTCCTTGGGCCGAATGTCCGAATAAATATTTTCAAAATGGATCTTATGCACCGGAACCAGAGTGCTTGGTAAGTATCATATGTCTTTATCGGGGAAATCGCAGATTTCGTAGAAATCTGTGGATGTCATTTTTATAGGAATGTGAAAAATAGATTCTAATATATGTCAATCTATAGCAAAGTAGCCCAACTCAATATTTTTGGTACCGGACGACTCTGATGATATCTAAAGATATTAATACACCGGAAGCATTTAATTGGAAGATTGCATTGGCTTTAATTATAGCTTGGATTTTGGTTTACATGTGTATGATCAAGGGAATTGCATCTTCAGGCAAGGTATTTGATTTAAATCTTGTAATTTATCTAATATTTATAAATCATTTATATATAAATTAGTAGATAAAGTTGTATTATTTCTATATTTATTACTTTTTACAGGTCGTTTATGTTACCGCTACGTTTCCATATATCGTATTAATTATCTTCTTCTTTCGAGGAGTCACTTTACCGGGAATGTCAGATGGATTACGGCATCTCTTTACACCAAAGGTACATTTAACGATTATTTGAATAATATCGACAATTTTCAAGATAATAAATTGAAATTTGATCTACCATTGCTAGTGGTGGACACTTACAGACCCAGTAGTATGGTTGGAAGCTGGTACTCAAATATTTTTTTCTCTTGGTTTGGCATTTGGAGGTTTAATAGCCTTTTCCTCCTATAATCCAGTTAATAATAATTGTTATCGCGATGCGATAATGGTCAGCTTTACAAATTGCTTTACCTCTATGTTTGCTGGGATTGTTGTTTTCTCCATTATAGGTAAACATTCAAGAAAACATGAATAATCAATAGATATTTTACAACTATTGTAATAACAGGATTTAAGGCCACTATGGTTTACGAAGAATGTTTGAAGGAACGAAATATGATGTTAGTTAATATTTTTGGTGCCGAGGACAAAATACCCGATGTTATTCCTGATGCAAATACGTTTCTTAATATCACGACTGGCAATGGTTCTTTTGAATATTTAATAATGCCAAAATTACCGGTATGCGATTTAGAAAAAGAATTAGATAATGTGAGTATTATATTTATCTAATTCATATTTTTTATTTATTGTGTATGCGTCTACAGAGTAGGACAATAATTCTGCCCACCTTGAATATCTCCTTTGTTAACAATTGTATTAAAATACTCCAGAGAAAAAAGTTGTACTATTGCGGGGGGGGGGGGAGGAAGAAATCTAATAGTTGAAAGAATTTGTTCTCACGATTATTTTTTTACGAGATTTCAAATGGTTTTTAAATGGATTTTAGTGGTGTTTAGTGAAATTTAAATAAATCTATATATATTTTTGTGATATTTTTATAGAATGTAAAAAAACGACTAAAAATTATCTGCATGACCATATCGTTCAGATCATTTATTCTCGAGATATTTACATCTCAAAATTACAATATTCACCTTGAATATCTTTGTTATTTATAATAATATGAAAAAATATGTGGTACTGAACTTGCACAGCATAAAGAGGGTAAAACAATAGGTTATCCCATTTAAAAAAATGAAGATGACTTTAAAATATTCTTTACACCTCCACCTACGCAAAAGAAATGGACATCATAATATATCCCCCTCTATGCCACGCAAGGTCTGTACCAAGCATTTTTTTATATTATTACGAATAACAGAGATTTTCAAAGTGAACTGAGTTATTGTCGCACCCTGTATATGATATATTTATTTTACAGTCCGCATCAGGTACTGGTTTGGCATTCATCATTTTCACTGAGGCGATTAATCAATTTCCTGGTGCTCAATTTTGGTCCATCTTATTTTTTTTGATGTTGTTTACCTTGGGTATCGATTCCCAGTTTGGTACTCTCGAAGGCGTTGTCACAAGTATCGTTGACATGAAGCTTTTTCCCAATTTACCAAAGGAAATTTTAACAGGTCTGTTGTATGATTGAAAATAAAATACAATAAAATAAGAGGGAAAATATTATTTTTTTTTTTTTTATGCAATAGTATTATTAAGTAATTAAACTTTTTTCATTTTGTATCAGGTGGAATTTGCTTGGTATGTTGTACCATTTCAATGGCTTTCGCTCATGGTGCTGGCAGCTACGTTTTTGTGCTTTTTGACAATTTCAGTGGAAATTTTCCATTATTGATCATCGCGTTTTTCGAATGCATTGGAGTATCCTATGTATACGGATTGAAGAGGTATATTAATCAGCTATTTTTATTCAGTTGTTTTTTATAATAATGATAATAGTAAAGATGATTCATCATAGGTTTGCCGATGATATAGAATTAATGACGGGTAATCGTCCAGGACTTTATTGGTTGATTTGTTGGAAATATCTTAGTCCTTTGGCGATGTTAAGTATTTTGATTGCTTCATTCATTGAAATTGTTGTGGAAGGAAGCGGATATCCTGCATGGGTTTCAAGCTTAGGTACAACGGAGAGACACGAATGGCCAGTATGGGCTCTCATCCTTATTGGTATTCTTATTCTTGCATCTGTTCTTTGGATACCTGTAGTTGGAATTTGCAGGTAGTGTTTAATGCGTATGATATAAGTTATTCCAAAAGTCATTTTACCGAAGAAAGAAAGTATAACAAAAAATCAATATTAGTTTATTAATAGAATTATAATCTTTTGTTTTTTATTTCAAGATATTAATCTCCAGTTACAGTGTTGTTAACAAAGTATAGACCGTCACTCCAAATATCAGTAAAAATATAATTTATAACTTTTTAGTACAGTTAAACGACTTTTGGAAAGCCCTGTAAATCTCATTATCAGTTAATTATTTTATAAAACTTCATTGATCATTATTTTATTTGACTTGTATGTCATAGATATTTTGGTATTCTCATCATTGATGACAATGAAAAAGCCTGGTTCCCTGCAGCAGATTTAAAAGAATTTCACGGAATCGTACCCCATGAAGTTACTGCCGCTGAAACACTATTGTTCTGTATAAGAAGTGATGGTACAGAAGGATTATGTTGTCCGACAGGTGGTCCCAGCGATGATGACGAGGATCTCACTTAGGAAAGGTTTTATTTATTTATTCCATATTAAATATGTGTTTGATTGCTTTTTAATTCGAAAAACAGTTGCTTCTGCTAACAAAAATAATTGACGTCATTAATATTTTAGTTTAACCGATTTCATAACGACTTCAAAGTCTTTATTAATTATTATCATTACTAACTGTGTTTAATAGTAAAATTTATCGAGTCAATTAATCTGAAAATAATAGGAGCTATCGCATTCCATAAGTAATAATATTTATGCGATATATGAAAACGAATGTTTTTATGATGAAATTTTATTGTTATTGTTTCTCATAATTTTAACCAACATTTTAAAAATCCTCAAGTGTGTCAATATTAGTCAACAGAGAAAAAAAAGGAAACCCGTTCAAAGTTTTGGAAGTTTACAAAAATTAGATATTAGGTAAGGAAATATACAGTACTAATATTATTAGTAGCTAAAAATGGATACGAATCGTCATTTTGCTATATCCGTTAAGCATATACTTACGGATAAATGAAAGGAAATTTGAATTTCATGAGAGAATAATATCGCGACTTTATTTTTCGTACGTCGAATGTATTGCTATTATGCTTAGCATTGTCTTCGACGTGTAAATTTCTATTTACATATTATGAAAGGAACGTATTATATCGAAATGCGATGCAATTTGCAAGTTTTAAAAATATCTTACTATCTCTTTCTCGTGCGGTATTATTATTGCTTATATCAGATGAGGTTTGTCATTGATATACGATTTTATATTCTAAATTATTGATAAAAACTTATTATTGTGTGATATTTTTGTGTATTCTATCTATAAAATTGAATGCTTTTAAATACTACTGTTGCTTTATATTAAAGTAAACGTATTAAAATTAAAAAGCATCGTATTCCGAAAACGGATGTTTGAGATTGATCGTATATTCAGATGCTAGTGGAAAGAACATAAACATATTAGTATGTAATAATGGTATGTCGTTTTCAGAGAACCTGTTATATATTTAGATATATTCACAAAAGTTATTCCAGAAATTTGTGGTATATCGACAATAAATATCAGCAATTGCAATTAATGTGAGATTTAAGATTAGAGTAGGGGCCGTCCATTTAATAAGTTAGAATAGGACGTCTCCCAAATTTTCATTCTTCATTTTAATGTTTTCCTAAAACTTTAAAAAACGCTACTTATAATTTTAGCCGATTCTTTATTCTGTCTGTCCCGACTATGTCTACTAAATTTTTATATAAGGTTCTAACGATAACATTTAACGTTATATTAAGACAATACTAATCTTATTAGATGTATAAAAGAAGTTTTATGATAGAATATTACGTTCTTTTATTATAGTAAATATTTACTATAGTAAATATTTGTTTTATTTGAAGAAGAGGAAATCAAAAGGTACAAATTACTGTCGTTTACTTTTCAAACGATGGTTAGAAATATCTACGTTCTTTAATGATCGAGATATGCGTTTAATCTTTTTAATTTACAATGTGACTCAAACGATAAGACAAAGTTTCATTAATAATATGTCCGGATGGCAGAAAGAATTAATCGGCAAGATTGGTAGCTTTATCACATTGAAAGTATATCAATAGTGATAGAAATGAAAACGGAAACAACTGGCATATCATGATGGTACATTTAAAACGTGTCCTATGTACCTAAAATCAAATTTATTTATGATTTTAACGTAATTCGTCGTCGTAATTCTAAGGCTTAAAGACAATACAAAATGATATAATGCCTCGATGAGGGATTTATGATGACAATAACAAAATTTAATCGTATTAATTGATGGAGGTGTGTCGACAATATATTAACGTAAAGTGACATTTACGTCACAATAATTTTGATGGTAGTTTCGTTAGGTATGTTGCGATATTATTTTTAATACAATATTAGAAATGTTGAAATATGAAGACTGTTCCAATTGAGATTATATTTAGAAAAAACTAAAAGAAACAAATATAGGAATTGTTTTTTTTCTTCATAAAAATAACTTATTGAGATGATTTACTTCAGAGTGTTTTTAATTATTACAAATAGAAGAGAAAGATACAGAAGAAACCGAGTAAAATAATTAGTTAACGAATATACGTACAATATTTTCCAGACAATAGAAGAAAACGAGTAGAGTTTATAATCACTCGACATAGGCTCATAATTAATAGTCAATTTAGGTTAATTATAGTTATTTTGTTTTTCGTAGAATGTTTTTTTACATAGCTCATGTTTATTTTATTAACACTAAGGTGCTAAATTATAATATAAGGACCGTTAAATAAAAATCGAGATTGATAATTCTACGTATACACATAAATATTAACGTTTACTTGTTAAGAAATCTATAAGAAGCTGTCGATTGCTTTGACAATAATTCCGTTGCCTTGAATGGTATAGTGATTTACAAATACTTATGCTGGGTTTATTCTTGTTAATATAATGTATATAATTATTGATATTGGCTATAAGAATTTTCTCGACAATAAGGTATCTGTATACTGACACACGAATGCGTTTAACAAAAAAAGAATTAATTCCCTGAGATTCGAATCATGATATATCTACGTATTTATATCGGATTATTTCGTAATAATTCGTTAGAAATTTTATTCGATAAATTCACTAGATTCGAGGAAACAATAGCAATGATATATTTATATTAAACGTACAAATATTACAGACAATAATATTTTAGATCTCATATCGGTTGAATTTCTCATATCAGTAACAATAGGAAATAAAAGTTATAGAGAAATCGGCATTAATAAATAAAAATGAATACGTATCATGAAACCATATCATGTTTTACGAATGAAAAAGATAAACAAAAATTTAATTAAATTTAAGTAAATTTAATTAAAGTAAATTTAATTAAATTTAATTTAAGTAATTAATTTAATAAATTACAATACATT